CACACATGATGATAACGTCATAGCACACTGACATTAAGGAGCACAAAACGGGCCCAGCTACAAGAAATAAATATTACACTCAATCGTAAGAAATAAATACGTCTGTAACTTGTTAATTACAAAGTCGAACACACCTCTGAGCATCTAAGTTTAATAGTATGTGTTGATGCATTGTTATATTGCAGGACATTTTATATACGTCACTTGAGCAAACGCCAGTTTTTCACTTGAAAAACAAACCAAAAAACACTGCGATCAAATGCAAGCTATTGCAACGAAAGCAAGTTATATCAAAATCTTTAGAACTGCCAATTCGTAAAATTGACGATTAGTAAAAGAAGGTTAAATATCGCAGGAGCTTCCTCGTTAAAAAAATGCTGTGATTATTCGGTGACCCAGGGTTGAAACAATTTCCCCTAGGCCCTACACACGCCGTATACCTTTCGTTATGATTCTCAGAAATTCAGACTTTCAAAGGAAGCTAGAAGAATGCGAAAATTTTATCCTAAAAGCTATATGGAGCGCAAGTTCGTCTGCTTTTTTTTGCAGTGGTTGTGGTGACGTCAGAACGCCGAGATCTGAGTGGCTCCGATTGGAGGATAGTGGGTAGATCTAAAAGCAAGCTGCCTTGAGGCCTACCCACTATTCTTTATTCAGAACCAATCAGAGCTCGGCGTTCTGACGTCACCACAACCCCTACTAAAAGAATCAGACGAACTTGCGCTGCGCATATCGTAAAATCGTTGATTAGTATACTTGGGAGTTGTGTGAATATTTATACAGCGTGTAGTTGGTCAGCCATTTCAAAGTTGCGACGAGTCACTCGCTGTAGATGAGCAATTTAGCCAATGCAGTATAACCACTAGCCTGGGGTCTATAGGTCTTTAACGTGCACCACGCAGCAGTGATACACAACCGCAGGCCGGTACGATGCTCATCCAGATCGAAACGGGCAGGGGAAGGGATTGAACCCAGGTTCCCTGGTTGATTAGTACAAAACGTAAACATCGCAGGAGCTTCCTCGCTAAAAGTTTGTGATCATGTGGTTACCTGGGGCAAAAGCAAATTCCCCAAGGCCCAACATGCGACGCATAGATTTCGCATCGATTCTCAGACACACCAACGTTCAAATAAATCTAAGAGAATGCGAAAATTGCATGCTAAATGTCTTATCGATCCTCAAACACATCCGGAAACCCGAGCACCGCTAAGGCGATATAACTGGTGCTGTCGCACAGGTACTAATATCCAGAGCGATCTTGCACAGAAAGGGTATAAAGCATAATTCTTTGAGATCTTCACGTTATACCTACGTCAGAAAGCACGAAGCCCTAAATCGTCGGCAAGCTGCGGCACATCACGACTCCGCGCACCGAACAAACTCGCATCCACCAGCTCTGGGCGCTGCCATCTTACCGATGACATCACGGCTCTTGAGAGGTCACGTGACGAGTCGTCACTCGGTTGCTACGGAAACCGAGCCGGCTCAGCTCGTTGCTATGGTACCGCGTGTGACCAATCGCTTTGAGAGGCGGCACAGGGAAAAGCGTGGCGCTACTCTGGCAGCTACGCTGCCATATCGAGTGGCTCTAGGTAGACCGGTAGACCTAGCGCCACGCTTTTCCCCGTGCCGCCTCTCACCGCGATTGGTCACACGCGGTACCATAGCAACGAGCTGAGCTGGCTCGGTTTCCGTAGCAACCGAGTGACGACTCGTCACGTGACCTCTCCAGAGCCTTGACGTCATCGGTAAGATGGCAGCGCCCAGAGCTAATGGATGCGAGTTTGTTCAATGCGCGGAGTCGTGATGTGCCGCAGCTTGCCGACGATTTAGGGTTTCTTCGTGCATTCTGACGTAGGTATAACGTGAAGATCTGAAAGAATGATCCTTTCTACCCTTTCTGTGCAAGATCGCTCTGGATATTAGCACCCGTGCGACAGCATCACTAATATCGCCTTAGCGGTGCTCGGGTTTCCGGGTGTGTTTGAGGATCGATAAGCTATCCAGCATGCAATTTTTGCATTCTCTTAGCTTTATTTGAACGTTGGAGTGCCTGAGAATCGATGCGAAATCTATGCGTCGCATGTTGGGCCTTGGGAAATTTGTTTTTGCCCCAGGTAACCGCATGATCACAAATTTTTAGCGAGGAAGCTTCAGTGATGTTTACGTTTTGTACTAATCAACCAGGGAACCTAGGTTCAATCCCCACCCCTGCCCGTTTCAATCTGGATGAGCATCGTACCGGCCTGCGGTCGTGTATCACTACTGCGGGGTGCACGTTAAAGACCTATGGAGCTAGCGGTTATACTGCATTGGCTAAATTGCTCATCTATAGCGAGTGACTCGTCGCAACCTTGAAATGGCTGACCTACTACACGCTGTATAAATGTTCACACAACTCCCAAGTATACTAATCAACGATTTTACGATATGCGCAGCGCAAGTTTGTCTGCTTCTTTTTGCAGGGGTTGTGGTGACGTCAGAACGCCGAGCTCTGATTGGTTCTGAATAAAGAAGAGTGGGTAGGCCTCAAAGCAGCTTGCTTTTAGGTCTACTCACTATCCTTCAATCAGAGCCACTCAGATCTCGGCGTTCTGACGTCACCACAACACCTGCAAAAAGAAGCAGACAAACTTGCGCTCCACATAGCTTTTAGGATAAAATTTTCGCATTTTTCTAGCTTCCTTTGAAAGTCTGAATTTCTGAGAACCATAACGAAAGGTATACGGCGCGTGTAGGGCCTTGGAGAAATTGTTTCAGCCCTGGGTCACCGAATAATCACAGCATTCTTTAGCGAGGAAGCTCCTGCGATCTTTAACCTTTTTTACTAATCGCAAATTTTACGAATTGGCAGTTCTGAAGATTTTAATATAACTTGCTTTCGTTGCAATGGCTTGCATTTGATCACAGTGTTTGTTTGGTTTGTTTTTCAAGTGAAAAACTGGCGTTTGCTCAAGTGACGTATATGAAATGTCCTGCTATACAACAATGCATCAACACATACTATTAAACTTAGATGCTCAGAGGTGTGTTCGTCGTTGTAATTAACAAGTTACAGACGTATTTAGTTCTTACGAGTGTAATATTTATTTTCTGTAGCTGGGCCCGTTTTGTGCTCCTTAATGTCAGTGTGCTATGACGTTATCATGATATGTGTATGGTTCTAAATATCCTCTTTACAATGCCTACCAAGGCCAAAATGACGTCAGCCGACCCCAACTCACGCCTTGGGCACGAAAACTGCGTCGCTCGGATGTATGCGCTGGTCAGCAATCAATTCGTCCATGGATATTTGAATTCGCGTTCCTGGCCAATGGGTGCCCTGACAAAACTTATCATCACTTGTGAATGCCAAGTTCTGCGGTGTACTTAAAAAGCAAGGTGAAAGCTTGGGGGCATCGTGCAGCATGTCACGACTGCGTAATTTCACAGCTCTCTTTTTTGAGTTGAGGATCTCAGGTAAGGAAGAAGAAGTTTAAAATAATTTCGTGGCCCCTTTAACACGGATATGTGTGCTACACCAGATAAAAATATAGACATTTTGCATGCCGGTAAACTTCCGAACGACCATTTGGCCTGTCGGCAAGAACACCTCATATCCGGCGTCCGTCCCTTTTGATGGCGTCAACAATTATCTAGAAACCACCATGCCGTCCTTCTTGGTTGAACCCCGTCGACGTCGCTCCTCACCAGTCGGTGAGAAAATCTCATCTTGAAGGGATGATCAGGTCTTGAAGAAGTATGATGCTAACCATATACTCGCTCACTATGGGGCAGTCGAGCAGCAGTCATGTCCCGAGCCAATCGTCCTGTTGTGGCCGGCGTAATCGAATTTTGTTCCATCGGAGGGAACTCCGAAAGTACTAGGACGGTACGTTTGTCCCACGAAGCGGCCGCCATCCCGGCGGCGCCGAAAACCACTCGCCTTGTCCCTGCACGTACGATACCATAGCAGCTCTCGTCGCCCGGCAGTCCCCGGGCTGCAAATCGTCTCACTTTTCAGAAAAAACAGGCACCGTTCCTCCAGAGGTTCTTGCCGTACCGCGATGCCAAGCGTCTTATACTACCACTTTTCAATGAACGAATGGAGATATCAACTAGACTACAAAGGTTGCCGCCCGGCGTCGCTAGAAGCACGGTTACCATGGCAACCTCCCAGGCCCAAAATGGAGATCACTATCAGCGCTTCTGACGTCGTGCATCTAGATAATTTTGCGTCGTGTCGCTACTCTGGCAGCTACGCTGCCATATAGAGTGGCTCTAGGTAGACCTAAAGCCCCTTCATGTTTTAAAAGTAGCGCAAGGTGCGTCGATGCACGAGGCACGTGCAACGTGCAGGCCTTGGGAAGATCATGGCGGCACAGCGCAGCACTGAGCCACTGTAACACTTCTCTCTCTCTGAGCTATGCTTCGTTTCATCTTATCTGCAGGCGAAGCCAAAGATAGAAGCGCGAGACCAGCGGTTTTTGCTTTTTGCCCCGCTAGTGCGCTCGAACACATCATAAACGCACGGAGCTTTTGATCGCTCGCACATAAAGGCTCGTTCACGCAGAGCTGTTTTCTTTCGTTACGTTACGAAAAGTCACCGGGAAATCTGTGCTTCGTATTAAGCGTGGCTACTAATTCAAGGAGATAGCCTTCCACGCGACATTCAAGACACGAGTGCTTCGGTGACTTAGACGTTAAGTTAAGAAAAGGGTGCTGCGTGAAAAGTTGAACCGAGCTCAACTCCTTACGTTACAACCACGTGGTTACGGCGAACCTTGTGTTCTTGGTTGCCACGGTAACTCACCGCTCGCCGTCACCGCAACATTCGTGTCTTGAATGTCGCGTCCCATGGGCTATCTTTTAGAATAGACCCTTTCCGAAAGTCAGCCTACCCACCTTGTGCAGAGCCAGACCCGACGCTCTAATGGCGGAACTATACACTGTTTCTCCACACCAGGAAAATCGAACGTCTTCGAAAGCGTAGAGAAGGAAAAAGAAAAGATGTTGGTCGTTCCACGTTACCTTCGACGCACGAAATCGAGGGCGCTATTTAGCTGCGCATGATCTTCTATCACCGTCATTAGAGCGGCAATATTGGAGCTTTTTGGACTGGCACAAGTGGACTCTGACTTTTGAAAAGGGCCTATTCCCACTCAAGCGTAGAACGTAAATGTGTAGAAAAACGATTCAAAAATTGTGAAGCAGACTGAGCAAAAAAATAAAAATAAAAGCAACGTCGATCATCGAACGAATCTGATTACACACACGGCACATTGTTGCATACTCTTTATTTCGTGTATACATGATATCGCGTTATATATACAGTTCGCAGTTCTTGTTCGAGTTTTCGCTGCTATTTTTAATATACGAACGCGGATGCCACGTCAGAAGACATTGTATGTCTCGAGAGAATTAATTATCGTTTCATCCTTGAAATTAACAGTTTTATATTTCGTAGCACCGCGCGACACCGGAAGCAACCTGGGTCTGCAGGACCGAATTCACTGTCCTCCGGCGCTTTTCGCTACCGGCTGATTGAAGACGGTGGCGAACGTGTACAGGCCGTGGAGGAAGTGCACCACACCCGATCCGAGGCCCAATCCCTGCAGGGGGAAGTAAAATGGCGATTTGTACAGATCGGGACACATTCGGCCTGCTGCCGCTGCGCCTGGACCAATCATCGCGCGGAGGTTGACAGTGACGCCATAACCCCGAGCTCTGATTGGAGGACTGCTCCGAGAGGGTGCAGGCGGGCTGCGGCGCTGCAGTGGGTGAACAGAAGCGCGTCGTTTGCTATACGGGTAGAAACTGGGGGAGAGGAGGAGTCGGAAGCGCGCGAGGACGTGAGACCACAGATCTCTGGTTGGAACGAGTTGTGGGCAGAAGCAAAGTAGTTGCCTCGTCTCTGCTCACTCCTCGAACGCGCCCGAACGCCTCAACTAAAAACAACAACGCCTCAACTAAAAAAAAAAAAAAAAAAAAAAAAACATTGTTGTAGTTGTTTTTGTTTGTTTTTTCGAACGAACGAGGTTTTTATTTTTGGGAGAAAGGAGAGGGAATATTTCGGGGGAAAGATATGTTTGTCTTTGTCGACTGACGAAAGTTCTACCAGAGACACTGCAATAAGCGGAGAACTGCGTTCCTGACGTTGTTTACTTCTTTTCTTTTTTTTTGTTTTTTGTTTGGCGTCTCCTCTCTCACTCACGGAGAGACGCGTTTTGGCGGGTCTATCCGACGTGCTAGCTGTACTGCGCCATTGCATGCTCCAATGAAGGTCCAGTGGTTCTCTCCATTTGCGTCTCGAATATTCGGCGTCACCCAAATATGGCCGACGAGGCGGCACAGCACGAGCGCTGCACCATCCTTCGGTTGACACTCGCGTCCAGTCTCGCGGTGGCCTTCTCTGGGTGGCGTCGAAAATTCATCAACAAGGCGTCGTTATCCACGAGGTGATGGACGCATCCCGGTAAAAATATAACGAGCTCTCTGATGGAACCAAAGAAATAGCTCAATACTTTTTTTAAACAAATTTTCAAAGAGAAAATGATGTCCTTATAGACCGTTTTATCGTGGGTAGCGCCATTTTGAGAGCGAGAGAGAAAAGGGAAAGGGCTACCGGCGCTTTCCCCCTTTCTGATTGTGTAGAAAGAGTGGAAGTCCCGGATGAGAGGCTGGGCCGGTGTTGGGCGTCTGCAGTGCCCCAACTTCGTTCGCGCTTTCTTCTACGTTTCAAACTCCCAAACTTAATTAAAGCCATGGTCTTCGATGGCGACAGTCCCCCGGTCATCGGGACACCATTGCTGGGTGATAGGGTGCACAAATCACGACAGAAAGCGTCGAGTACTGTCCGAGGGCTTATATGTAGTTTGCATGGAATCCGGCAAGGCAAGTACGGCTGGAATGTTTTTAAGCTCCATTGCTTTCCGAATGACTGGAAATGATGAACCATTTATACATTTTTAGTTGCAATAGGCCTATTTTAACGTAGCCGCTTTTAGTTGTAATCAACAAGCGATACACGAAACGGGAACCTCAATTAACTTTGTAAACGCCCGGAGCTGCTACATATCGTCTTGCTGTGCTCTTTTTATATTCGTGTCCCTGTTCTTATATCTCCTTGTGAATGAACGACGAAGGCGCTCTAGACGTACTTTTATCGAACCGCAGAAAGCCTCGAAGCAGCCACGAATTATTTTACTATTTGATGCAATATTTTGAATTCTCACCTCCAATTTCTGTAGCTGGCACGTTCGCTGCCGCTGTTCCCCCCGTCGCCACACTGGCGGATGCCATGACTCAAACAAAGAAACGTGTACACTGGGCTCGAAAACGCAGATCGCAACACACGAAACGTTCCTGCAGCGACTATCAAGCGCCTCAAAGCGCCTTAGTCAACGGAAACAACCCACCAGCGGCACTTCAAGGAGCGCTTTTGCCGGCTCTCTGGTATCGCGCAGGAGATCGCGATTGAAAAAACAAACAAACAAACAATAGAACTACGTTTTTAACAAATTTCAGCCTCACCCGGCCGCGGAAATGGGCCTTCAACTAAGTGCTGTAGATGATAAAATCGAGTCAGTCAGCACTGCAAATTATCACTATTAAGATAAATTCAGTTACGGAATTTTACAAGCTGAAAGAACAGTTATCATGAGAAAACTCGCACGCACATTGCGAGCGTACCCCATGTTCATCGGCGGCACAGCGTTCGGTGCGCGCTCCATTCACGAAATGTTCCGAGCGAAGTCGAGAGGATGGCGTTGAGGAAACTCCTTTTCGGCTTACGGACGCAAGCAATCCACTGCCCCCGGAGACAGGAGTCATGTGGAAAGCGATGGAGCTCAAAGACATTGCAGCCGCTCTCGCCTCGCCTTGCCATATGTCCTCGGACACTATTCTATGTTTTCTGTTTTTATTCCTGCACCCTATAACCCAGCAATGGTGTCCCGATGACCGGGGGACTGTTTCCATCGAAGCCGCTGGCTCTAATTAAGTTTGCGAGTTTAAAACAGGAAAGAAAGCGCGACCGAAGTTGGGGCACAGCAGACACCCAACACCGGCGAAGCCTCTCATCCGGGACTTTCACTCGTTCTACACAATCAGAAAGGGGGAAAGCGCCGGTAGCCCTTTCAACTTTTCTCTCTCGCCCTCTCTCAGTAAAACGGTAGTCAGTGCAGGCGGCAACGAGTTGCAAGTAACATCGTTACATGTAACGGGTTACTGTTTTCGGTAACGTACACCAAGTCATATCAAGACAGTAAAAAAAAAAAAAAAAAAAAAAAAAAAGCATCACGTTGTTAGGGAATTATTTTCTGCATGGACATATTTTTTTTTAACAGGGTGCTTATGTATCCTTTAACCTCATAACAATAGAACGATCTATTTAATTAATGAAAAGCAACGCAAATGTAACGTTCGTTGCGTTTTTATCGGCAGCACGTAACGCGTTCCTTTTATGTGCAAGTAACGAGTTGTCCATCTCTTGGTGTCAAATTTCGTATTTCCTGAGTCTCGGGTTCCTTCAAAATGTTCAGCATACACAAACTCACTTGCGCCCTCACGTTTTGTTCGTTACGGGTGACTTTACTTTTTTTTCAGAAACGCCTACAACACTGGTACAAGTCTATTTTTGCTTTTTGATGCTAGGCGCGCTGAGAAGAATTGGTTCGAAACACGGTTTATGCCAGTGTCTGGTAGTGGAAATGGGGACGTGAAATATCCCCTACCCACCGCAGCCACTTTGTCGAGGACCTCTTTCTTCGCGACGGACAGGAGCCAGCCGGAAGTGATCAGAAAGAAACCGCTGCCCACCAGGTGGTACAGCAGGAACTGCGAAGAGAGACTCACGAAGTTCAAGACGCTGAAACTTAGAAATCTTATCGGAACTTCTAATTCGAATCAATTTGTACACCAATTTTGGTGACATTCAGTATTACTGCACGCTTCCGTCGGCAAAACAGAATCAAACCACGTAAACGTTCTTGCAGTCGTGTTTTGATCGACGATGCATGGAAAGTAGGTGACTATCGACGGTCGTCCTCTCCGTGGTCAACAGAGCAGGACAGGGACTGAACGTCACTTATATCCGTAATTCGGCCACTCGCCCCCGCCCCCCCCCCCCCCCCCCCCCCCCCCCCCCAGAACAGTTTCTCTTCCTTTTTATATTTTTGTTCTGCTGTTTCATACTAATCTGGAAAGTGCACCACTAAAAATGTGTCATGCTGTTTGTGGGCCACACAAAATGGGTGAATGAATGAAGGAATGAATGAATGAATGAATGAATGAATGACACCGATGCCTTTTTACGTAGCGGAGTTAGGGCGTATGTGATTATGAGACGTTGGTCTGACACTCGCGTCAACGAACAAAAACGTAATCGCCGATAGCGGCCGCCTTCAAGTGTGCATACGAATACATTTGAAAGGAATTTTGTAAATAAGTGCGGAACAAACGTAATGGCCGTATAAAAGCATCGCTACAGAGAACATACTTTAAGTTCCGTATTTTGTATATTTTGTCTTTATTGTTGGATAACAATCGCAGCCTTTGCACCGCCTGCATACGAAGGTCTCGATCACTTTGGATCGCTTCAAGCCGCAACGCAGATGTTTAGTCACCCGGTTTAAATTTTTTTCTAGCGGCCTTGTCGAGACCTCCTCAATACCCGAGCGTCAAATGAAAGCTATCATGCCCGGGGTCGTCTGATTCCATTTTATTCGGAGACCATCTGCCTCAGCTGAGGAAGCGGAAACTATAACAATAAAAAAGAAACCCGATTTTTTTTTTTTTTAGTAATTTCTGATTTGAACTGAACGTGACTATTATCTGTGATTCGGCCACTCACGCAGAACGTGACACCGATGCATTTTTACGTAGCGAAAGTAAGGTGTATGCGAGTATGAGACATAGGATGATGCTCCGTTCGGACCCGAGGCAGCCGCTAGCTACAGAATGCACCCACTGAGTACGCCAGATGGCCCAACGTTCTGCAAATTTAAACCCATCGAACACGGGAAACGACCTGCCACACAATGGATCATCGTAGCATGCGCGGATCGCTGTCTTCCACTTAGCGACTATGATGACAGCATATTCTTTAAAGAAAGTGCAAGACCACTAAAGACCAGACATGTACTCTGGTCTTTGATGGTCTTGCACGATCTGAATGACCCTGCTACCGCGTGCAACAGGCTATTTTCGGTGGAGTTTTTTTTTTTTTTTTTTTTCTCGAACATTCGAAGGCTGACGGCCCTATACTATAGCTCAAGGCAGACATCGAAGTAGCACTCACGTAGAGAGAGAGCGGGAGGTAGGCCTGAGTGTAGGGCGACGAGATGCCTCCCAGCAGCATTACCGAGGACACGTAGGCGAAGGCGAACGACACCATCAGTGTCACCCGCGACGCCGTCTGCTCGCTGCCAGACAGTAGCACGCAGACGACCGATGCCACTGCCGCGCACTGCGCGAAGGTCCGCGGTGATCTTTTATGCGGGTATACGTATTATACACTCGTAATCAGAGTATAAACGTTCACTGGAGCTTACACTGCAGTCAACGCTACGAGCGGACGGAGCCAATCGGGGAAGCGTCGAAAGCGCATCGTCACGGTGGTCGTCGTTCGTATCATCGGCTAAACCAATCACACACAGCGCAGACGGTCACGCCGTATTCACGGTGCGTGATCGCTATGCAGAGAGCAAGTCGTCTGCTTCTTTCGCAGGAAATCGGTGACGTCAGAGAGACGCCGGCCTCTGATTGGCTCTGATTGAAGGAGAGTGGGCAGACCTCAAAGTAAGCTGCCTTGAGCTGTGCTGGCCAACGCAGAGCTCGGCGTTCTGACGTCACCACAACCTGAAGCGGACGAACTTGGGCTCCGCATAGCCGATGATAGCGAACGCTGGATGGATGTGGATGGATGCTAATGTCTGTACCCTTTATAACGGGAGGTAGCTTGTGCCACCTACCTATAGACCTTTTTCACAAGGGCGCCGCCAGCTTGAATTGTCGTCACTTCCAGTATATGGGCGAAAACATTGTTTTGCCGTCGCCACGCCGAAAGAACGCATTTACAATATAAGCGTAACCGTCACTCATTCTCGTTTTGCCTCCCCTCTATTCTTTAACTATTTGCAGCTTAAAAGGTTTTATTATTTCTTCGTCACCCATATCGGATACGCCTATTAGGTGGCTGGGGACGAGGGTACACAGAAAAGGTCTATAGACGAGGTCCGCCGTGACGATGCACTTTTGCCGCTGCGCGATTGACTATCGGTTCGTTAACTGCTGTCGGAGGGTATATATGCGTAGTGCAGTCAGTCAGAGTCTTGAGAGCCAGGAAATCAAAGGAAGTGTTGCTGAATATGCGTAGTGCAAGTTAGTCTGCTACTTTTTTGTAGGGGTTGTGGTGACGTTGGAACGCCGAGCTCTGACTCGCTCCGATTGAAGGATAGTGAGCAGACCTCGAGGCAGCTGGTTTTGAGGTCTACCCACTATCCTTCAATCAGTGACAATCAGAGCTCCGCGTTTCGACGCCGACACAACCCACTGCAAAAAGAAGCAGATCTTGCGCTCTGCATAGACATATTCATGAAACACAAGTAGCTCGCGTGACTTCGCTATTACTAACCGTTTTAATGTGTTTGTATCCGAAAACAAACAGATTCACAGGTTGTCTCGATATTCTTTCGCTTAATCTTAAAATAATTCGTTTAATATGCGGTATAGAAATGCCTCGAAGTTCTCCGCAATTTGAAGCGCGTGGTACCCGGCAGGCCCTTTCGATGGAACCACGATCGCCGGTTCTTTCGCTCGAGGTCTGCTTATTGCGTTAGAGAACGGCTTCTCTGTCGCGGGGGAGCATGTCTCACAGCGTACTGCGTATAGTCCTCACCACTTCGGCGATGTTGAGCATTCCGTGCTTCGTGACCGTGTATTTGGGGTTGACGGCGACCTTGGAAGACTTCTTGGCATCTTTGAGGGCCTCCGTCGGAGTGTCGCTCATATCGATCCAGCCTGGCCGACGGCGTCGGGAAATCACTCGCCAGACCCTGTAAGCTTAGAAGTAGGGTTCCGTGTTTTCGGAGTTCATTTTTTGTCAAATTCGGGGTGTATTTTTCGGTGTTGATTTTTTGACAAAAATTGGGGGTTTATCTGAGTTCATTCTTATTTGTTTTGTTATTTTAGATTCCAATTTTTTTTAAATTTCTTTCTCCTAAGGAGCGCGCATAGTATGGCCTAAACTGGAAGCCGAAACAGTGGCTTGAAACTTTAAATTCGTAACTGGTTTGATAAATACATTCATTGCTCTTGTGCGTATTTCTGTTTGGGGGGTATGATGGGGTTCTTTTTACCACTTTTTCGTATGTGCTAACTGGTCAACATTTCGAGTACAATGTATACGTAAATATACTTGTTATTTTGGTGTAAGACTTTTTTGTTTTGTCATTGTAGCCTGTCTCGCTTAAATGATCTCTGTATGGCTCTTTGTATGTTCGAAAGGGTGTAACCGCGTTGTACCCTTCTGCACATGTTTTATTCTTCTGGGCATGCAAAATATTTTTTTTTTTCATCAAAATTAAAACTGGTCATCGGACATGGTTGTTCGATCTTATCTGGAAACGCCCAAGAGTGTTTTTATTGAACAAATGAAGGGGTATTCACACGGGGGAGAAATCCCTCTCTTAGGTTCCCGTGATACGCCTCACGCGTCAAATACTTCACGCCTTTGCGGAAAGGCAGGCTGACGTAGACATCCCTGAGGGATGGGGGAGGTTTTCCTCGGGCTTGTGACGTTTCAAGGGGATAGCGGTTCCTTCTGAAACGTTGCCATCTAACTCGCACTTCTAGAGTTACATTTGGGCGAAGGCTGGGCGCTTGGCGATCTTTAATATATATTTTGGCAAAAAAAGAAAAAGAAACGAAAAAACTCATTTGTTTTTGGAGACACGCTATGTCCGCAGACTCGAAAGATATTGTTTCTATTAAACCAGGTAATCACGGTAGATGCTTGAGAATTTTTTTTTTCAAGTGCCAACAATATTCACTGCACGCCATATAGGGTGTATTCACTGGACGCCATATTTAAGGGTGCTGTTTAGAGCGCATGCTCAGAACGAGCTCACACTAATAGGCTACCCGTTAAGACCGGCAATATTGATGGTGCGGAATGCACGTTGCAAAAGAACTCCGGAAGCTCGCCGTCAGCACGCGCTGAGCAGCCGCGCACACAGCTATGTCCACCAGTGAATACTCCCTATACTTGAGGGCGATGTTTAGAGCGCATGCTCAGAACGAGCTTACATTAATAGGCTGCTAAGACCGGTAATCTTGATGGTGCGGAATGCGCGTTGCAAAAGAATTGTGGAAGCTTGCCGTCAGCACGCGCTCAGCAGTCGCTCACACAGTTATGGCAACCAGTATCAACTTGCATCAACAACACATGCGAGTTCCAATCGCAAGACATCAAACAGGTTCGAAACATTTACGTGCGTGTCGTTTCTGGTTCGGAATATCTACAATAGCGTATACAACCTTCTCAATCTGTCTCGTTTCAACCTACGGGGATGGAATATGAGTAGCGTACTCACAAATGCAGGCCCCTGAGCTCTCCGTAGAAGGTCTGTCTTCTCAATCTTCTTCTCACTCACACATGATGCTTCTCGTCTGCAATGCGCAAAAACCAAAGCGATCTTCTTCTTTCTTGCTTTAGACCACTGATCTTTATTGTAGTAGTCTGGATCGCGGATCGAGGCTTGTTTTGCGGGGGGTGAGTGGCACCACTGGGCACCACCGACAGCCATCACTCGACACCGACTAATGCCTGAGACTCTATGGGAAAAACGAGGAAAAAGTGCCGTTTCTCCCGTTTCTTAGCCGTTGTCGGCACTGAAACTTTTTGGCTGCTTTTCGGAAAGCCTGCCAAATAGCTTGTGCACAAACGCTAAAACTGACAGCCCTCGCACTTTTTACAAATGAATGTTTTGGGGTCGAGAGTGACTCCGCCGGGCCAACATTGTAGTGCAGCTCTATAGACAAGAGTTAACATATTGAGGTATTTAGCGCACAAGGTAGAAAGAAGAAGGACAAGATAGAGTGCCTTCATACACACGCGCGCTTTTGCTTGAGTGGTGACATCTCAGCCATTTTTCCGCCCAATCGTTTTTTTATGCATTTTGAAGTGCGCGCAATCCGGTGTCACTCAGCTCGAGCGCGTAACTTTGGTTGATGCATAGACGCCATCTTACCGCCCAAGTCACGCACCGAGTGCGCGAGAGCGTCACGCGCTGGCACTTTCCGGACAACAATGGATGTCTTCACCCTGAGACAGACAGACATCTAGGCACCCTAGGACAAGACAGAAAAGAGCGCCACTCACAACTGCGTTTACTGATAAAAAGGGAAAAGAAAGAAAACACCTAAATAATCCGCCGCGGACTCGTGAACCTGCCACAGCCCCGTGAATGATAGCGGCTATAGTCAGTTGCAGGTTAAAGGGCCCATGAAACGATTTTTGGGTTGGGATAAATCATTTTAGATTGGGATTTTACTAATAGCACATCGTTCAGTGGACCAAAAGAAAAAAGGTAGAAAGTCAAAAGCCTTACTTTCAGTGCGAAAATTTGAAAACAGAGCGGACTATTTCGTACCTCCTCCCCTTCGCAACCTCTCTGCCTTTTCACTGTGATACATCCGCGGTCCCAAAAGCGCGTCAACGGGTCCAAACTGACGTCACACGCAACCGGACCTCACGTATTCCCTTCACCCCTAAGCTGACATTGTGGTGGAAGCTACGCGCTTGCCGGACCAATCAGCCGCCTCTCTTTCATCACCTGACTTCATTCTCTGCAGCCACATTTGCCACGCTCACGTGGCAAGTGTGGCTGGCCCAACGAGCACGTAGCTTCAACAGCACTGTCAGCTTCGGAATGAACGGGGTGGGGAAAGCAACTTTTGTCTGAATTTTGAGCGACGGGCTAATCTTCTAGGGGTAGAAAGGATGTGTCCGGGATTACACAAACGAGAGTGCGAGCAAGAGGGGACTCCCCCTTTTCGTCTTCTTTAACTGTTTGGTGGAATGCGCGATTTATGAGTTGAGGAGGAAAGCGAAACAGGAAAAAGTTGAAAAAGCGTTTCATGACCCCTTTAAAGGGGTCATGAAACGCTTTTCCAAGTTGAGGAGGAAAGCGAAACAGGAAAAAGTTGAAAAAGCGTTTCATGACCCCTTTAAAGGGATCATGAAACGCTTTTCCAAGTTGAGGAGGAAAGCGAAACAGGAAAAAGTTGAAAAAGCGTTTCATGACCCCTTTAAAGGGATCATGAAACGCTTTTCCAAGTTGAGGAGGAAAGCGAAACAGGAAAAAGTTGAAAAAGCGTTTCATGACCCCTTTAAAGGGATCATGAAACGCTTTTCCAAGTTGAGGAGGAAAGCGAAACAGGAAAAAGTTGAAAAAGCGTTTCATGACCCCTTTAAAGGGATCATGAAACGCTTTTCCAAGTTGAGGAGGAAAGCGAAACAGGAAAAAGTTGAAAAAGCGTTTCATGACCCCTTTAAAGGGATCATGAAACGCTTTTCCAAGTTGAGGAGGAAAGCGAAACAGGAAAAAGTTGAAAAAGCGTTTCATGACCCCTTTAAAGGGATCATGAAACGCTTTTCCAAGTTGAGGAGGAAAGCGAAACAGGAAAAAGTTGAAAAAGCGTTTCATGACCCCTTTAAAGGGATCATGAAACGCTTTTCCAAGTTGAGGAGGAAAGCGAAACAGGAAAAAGTTGAAAAAGCGTTTCATGACCCCTTTAAAGGGATCATGAAACGCTTTTCCAAGTTGAGGAGGAAAGCGAAACAGGAAAAAGTTGAAAAAGCGTTTCATGACCCCTTTAAAGGGATCATGAAACGCTTTTCCAAGTTGAGGAGGAAAGCGAAACAGGAAAAAGTTGAAAAAGCGTTTCATGACCCCTTTAAAGGGATCATGAAACGCTTTTCCAAGTTGAGGAGGAAAGCGAAACAGGAAAAAGTTGAAAAAGCGTTTCATGACCCCTTTAAAGGGATCATGAAACGCTTTTCCAAGTTGAGGAGGAAAGCGAAACAGGAAAAAGTTGAAAAAGCGTTTCATGACCCCTTTAAAGGGATCATGAAACGCTTTTCCAAGTTGAGGAGGAAAGCGAAACAGGAAAAAGTTGAAAAAGCGTTTCATGACCCCTTTAAAGGGGTCATGAAACGCTTTTCCAAGTTGAGGAGGAAAGCGAAACAGGAAAAAGTTGAAAAAGCGTTTCATGACCCCTTTAAAGGGATCATGAAACGCTTTTCCAAGTTGAGGAGGAAAGCGAAACAGGAAAAAGTTGAAAAAGCGTTTCATGACCCCTTTAAAGGGGTCATGAAACGCTTTTCCAAGTTGAGGAGGAAAGCGAAACAGGAAAAAGTTGAAAAAGCGTTTCATGACCCCTTTAAAGGGATCATGAAACGCTTTTCCAAGTTGAGGAGGAAAGCGAAACAGGAAAAAGTTGAAAAAGCGTTTCATGACCCCTTTAAAGGGGTCATGAAACGCTTTTCCAAGTTGAGGAGGAAAGCGAAACAGGAAAAAGTTGAAAAAGCGTTTCATGACCCCTTTAAAGGGGTCATGAAACGCTTTTCCAAGTTGAGGAGGAAAGCGAAACAGGAAAAAGTTGAAAAAGCGTTTCATGACCCCTTTAAAGGGATCATGAAACGCTTTTCCAAGTTGAGGAGGAAAGCGAAACAGGAAAAAGTTGAAAAAGCGTTTCATGACCCCTTTAAAGGGGTCATGAAACGCTTTTCCAAGTTGAGGAGGAAAGCGAAACAGGAAAAAGTTGAAAAAGCGTTTCATGACCCCTTTAAAGGGGTCATGAAACGCTTTTCCAAGTTGAGGAGGAAAGCGAAACAGGAAAAAGTTGAAAAAGCGTTTCATGACCCCTTTAAAGGGATCATGAAACGCTTTTCCAAGTTGAGGAGGAAAGCGAAACAGGAAAAAGTTGAAAAAGCGTTTCATGACCCC